ATCGATGTTTAGTATATCTAAATATTATTCATTTGTATAAACTGTTGGTTACTGATGCATTGTGATATAAAATTTATATTAATACGAATGAGTGAATATTGAGGCATATAATTGGTGACCTGTTGCCATGATCATTACTACAAAGAGTAAATATTAAGATTATTTATTAAAAACTATTCACAAGGCCTCTTATTTAATTTACTACGTTAATTTAGTCAATATCATTTACTAATCAGTATATTTATGCTTGCCAACTAAATTAAAAAATTTTTAAATCTCAAGCAATAAAATCCTAGTACCAAACTATTAACTTAGACAAAGAATTTTTTTAAACTTTACTATATATATATTTATTTAATATATATTAAAGTTTAAAAAAACTCTTTACCTAAGTTAATAGTTGGCTGGTTTAAATTAAGCCACCCAAAATAACGCCCTGAAGCATTATTTTGGAATAATAATAAGATAATACGGTAAATCACAAGTTCCAAATACTAAGACCCAAATCTCAAATCTTTAGTTTCAAATTTTAAGAGTTTTTCTGGCATATTTAAAATAAATTATTTACCACACAAGTCATCTTATTTAGTTTTGCTTTAACCATATTAATTCAGTAGATACCATATAGGTATCGTATTATCGTGAAATAATGTTACTTCAAGACAAAATTTTAAACCAATTTAATAATTAATATGGCTGAAGATATTTTTTAAACTTTAATATTTATTTAATAGTAAAGTTTAAAAAAAATCTTTGGCCAAATTAATTATTTGTTCGTTTTAAAATTTTTGTCTTGAAATAATGCCCTAGGGTGTTATTTCGCGATGATATATATGTATAAGAGGGTCCGTATTATTTTACTGACAATTATTTTACCGACAGCTCATTTAACCAACATCACTTCAAGTGACAATTTACTAAAAATATATACTAGTGACTAATAAAATGCTAATCCTAACCCTATGTGATATTGGTGAAATGATTGTTAGCGAAGTAAATGGCACTGTATAAGATTATCTTTCTTAATTGATGTATTTAGAAATAAGCTATTCAAATTTATTACATGAAGAAATTTCACTTTCGCTTTATTCATACTAATTATTCTTCTAATTTGTATTCTTATTATCAAAAATAGAAACTAAATGTGAGTGAGTGTTATCTGTTCTAAAAAATAAATAAATTTCTAATGATTCTTGATCAAGTGTTAAAAGGGAATTTGAGTGAAACATAAAAGATGTTTCAGTACCAAAATAATATATCACCTCTTTTGGTTTTAAATATGTATACAATTTACCTCCTATCTTACATTCATTTGAAATTAAAGTATCTCTATATATGTTTATAAACAATGAAACTGAAATATAAGATAACGAATCAAGATTGTCAATACTTTTTGAAACAAAACTATGTTTTTCACCTATCAATTGATACATTGCAAGAACCTTCACTATACATAACATTCCATTAGTCCATACAAGCAAGTAACTATTCTTTTCTAATGGATAAGTTTCGGAAATATTAGCGCAGCCTATATCAGTAACTAGAAAAAAAAATTTATAAGAAATGATTAAAAGTAAGAATTAAAATATATTTATACTTACTTTTTGTTTGACTATCATTAATTAATGACTGTAGTTGATTATGTCCTTTCTAACATTTATTCTTTTCTTAGTAAATTGATTATTTTTATTATTAGTTAATTGACTTATTAAATGATTCGCCAAATTTCGATTAATTCTATTTGAAGATTCTTGATTCAATTCAATAGCTTGAGTTCTATGAGGATGATCAGAACAAGAAAATGCTTCATAAGATTTTTGCAATTCTAATATTAAAGAGATATCACAACTTCCATTATTCCTAAATATCTTTTCTTCATGTTTATAATTTAATTCTTGTAAAATATTTAATCGTGAATTGCTGATTATGTAATTAATTTCTGATTTGTTTATAAAACTTTCAACTCCAGATATATTAATTTCTAATAAATCTTCTGGTTCAAATTCTTGATCTAATTTGCTATTCAAATCTTCTGAAATATCAGTATTTACAAAATGCTTATCAAGAATATCCTCTAATTGTGAAACTCTGTTTAATTCTTCTGCAATTTGATCGATGGTTAAAGTTTGAAATACTTCTTCATTTTCTGATTGATTGTTAGTTTCATGCATTAAATAATCAGCCATTGCATAACTAATTTTTGATTTTTTACACATATGAAGAAGATTTATAAATGCATTTGCATTTTCATATGCAATTCTTATAGCATTGTTATAGAACGAATTAGTTATTATTTTATTATTTTATTAATTATTATCTTAGAATATTATTTTGTATTATTATTAACATGTTGCTTAGTCGCTTAGTCGCTTAGTCGCTTAGTCGCTCAGTCGCTTAGTCGCTTAGTC